CCCCCACGCCGTCGTCCACATGGGGGGCGGGGAGACCCCCACGCTGCACGCCGGTGAGTCTGGGGGCTGCGGGGGGCGGGGTGGGGGTCCCGCGGGCCTGGGCGGGGTCTCAGGGTCCCTCTGCCCCCCCCAGGCTCCGCCCCCCGCAAGCCCCTCGGGGGTCGCGAGGTGTGGAGCCCCCCTGGCCGTGACAAAGAGGACAAAGAGGACAAATACCGGCGGCGGCCGCTGGCCTGGCTGCCCCCCCGGCTCAGGTGGGGCTGGGGGCGCGCTGGGGTCCTGCTGGGGGGGTCACGGGGTCCCACAGGGGGTCCCGCTGGGGATCACTTGGGGTCACACAGGGGGAGTCACAGGATCTTTCTGGGGGTCACTTTGGGGGTGTCACGGGGTCCCTTTTGGGGTCCCTTTGGGGGGTCCCTCTGGGGGTCCCTGAGGTCCTTTGGGGGTCCCTTTGGAGGTGTCAGGGGGTCCCTTTGGGGACCTTGAGGCACCTTTGGGGTCCCTTTGGGGGTCCTTTTAGGGGGGTCCCCAGGGTCCTTTGGGGTCCCTTTGGGTCCCTCTGGGGGTCCTTTTGGGGGTCCCTCTGGGCATTCCCAGGGTCCTTTGGGGTCCCTTTTGGTCCCTCTGGGGGTCCCGCTCTCTGACCCCTCCCCCACAGGTGCCGCGTGCGCGGGGTCCCGCGGCGCCCCCTGCTGGCGCTGTGCCTGGGCGGGGGCGTGGCCTTCGCGCTGCTCCTACTCCTATTGGCCAGCCTGGCCAGGGGCGGGGCCGACTCCGACCCTGCCCTCGAGCCGCTCAACAACCCCCACGTGCGGGTGGGGCACTGACCACGCCCCCTCCGGGGGCGGGACCACGGTGGGTGTGGCTAATAAAGGGGGCGCTCCCTTGTGGAGAGGGAGGCAGAATGTCCGTGTGGTTCTTGGGGGACACCAGTGCCCCCCCAGTGCCCCCCCGTCCCTCCCACTTCCCAGCATGCTCAGCACACACTCGTTCTTTGCCCCAAACTGGGGGTCCCAGACGTTTCTTTGGGGGGTCCTGGGGCTTGTTTGGGGGGGGTCCCTTGGGGAAATTAAAAAAAATTTTGGGGTCCCAGGTAGGGAGAGCGCCGTCCCAGGGGGTGTTTGGGGGATCCCAGGAGGGTTTTGGGGGTCCCAGTGGAATTTGGGGGGTGCTGGGGGGGTTTTGGGGGTCCCCCCCCTAGAATGGGTGTGCTCCCACCGCCAGGTGGAGGCGGAGCAAGGCCAGGCCACGCCCATCCGGAGGGGGCGGGTCCCAAGGGCTTTGGGGCGGAGCCTCGGTGGCGGTGGGCGGGGCCTGTGGCGGGGGGCGGGGCCGGAGCAGCTCCACCTCCAGCAGCAGCTGCCGCGGGCCCGCCAGGGGGCGCACCAGCTCCAGCAGCGAGCTGTGATTGGTCAGCGCCTGCGGGGGGCGGGGCCACGCACAGGGCGACCTCAACTCCCCCGAATTAACCCCAGAACACCCCCGAGACCCCCCCAAAACACCCCCGAGACCCCGCGTGGCAGCGGCAGGCGAAGGCGCCCGGGGAGTTGGCGCAGCTGTGCTGGCACCAGCGGAACTGGCACTCGTCCTCATCTGCGCCAAAAACGGCCAAATGCGGCCCAAAATCACCCAAAAACCATCCCGTGAGCGCCCCCGGGAGCCACACCCAGCACTCGAATTCATCTGCGCCAAAACCACCCAAAAATACCCCAAAATCACCCAAAAACCATCCCGTGAACACCCCCTAGAACCCACACCCAGCACTCGAATTCATCTGTGCCAAAAACGGCCAAATCCACCCCAAAACCACCAATGGGAGCCACACCCACCCGCCCAGGGATCCCCACAGCCCCCTTGAGCCCAGACCCCCACCCCAAATCCCCCAGA